TGTTGATTTTTCTTTCTTTTAATTTAACAGCTGCTTAAAGGAACTACGTCACGGTTTGTTCATCTTTATGTTTAGCCTAAATATTTCGAAGTTAGTTATTTGTAATACGTGTTAATCTTCTCCATCCTTAACCATCCTTGTTCCCATATGGTTTATTGTTATCTCTTTGGTGTTTTTCTTTCTTAGTAAACTATTATTTTCAGGTTTTCTTCAATTGAAAGGTAATTTTGTAAGTGGCCGAAATAACTCAAAATATCGTGACTGAGCTCCTTTAAGGTTCTGTGAGCTTTATGTACTTCCTCCTTAGATACGAATTTCTCTGCAGCTCGGAGTGATAATGACAATGCCCAGCTGACCAGACTCTTCTTGTTATATGACTAATGTTCTTGTAGCTGTTGTGTGTTGTATGAGTTATTATGATGTAGCGGCGGTAAAGGATTCTGATGATGCATGTGTATGGACGGTATCTGTGGGTCCACTGTCGGGGGATGGGGAGGGTTTGCTTGCGGTGGTAGTTGCCGTGGCGGTGGCTGTGTCATCTGCTGAAGTCTTTTTGTGAGGTCTTCTATTCTTAAATCTTTTAAGTGCAGTAAGTGTTCAAGTCTTCGAATTTTTACATTTAAAATCTGCAAATATGAGAGAAAGAAAAAAGAAAAGGAAAAAGTCAGGTTTTAAGTATTACACTTCCAGCCATGCACAGATCACACTGTGCAGATCCCTACACGGATATGATCCCAGAACTGAATAGAGGTTGGTGATAAATTAACAGTGATATGTCATTCCATGCATAATACCTGCATATATTATTAAAAATACTGTGCAAGCCCAAAATAAATCTCACTCTCAATCACCCCTTTCTTAAGTGGTGAGTGAAAGCAACAAAACTCATTCACACTCTCAGCTTCTCTAATTTACAACTTTTATTTAACGCCTTGTGTTTGTAGTCGACATAATGCATGCCCTGTTTGGGTAATTCCAGGGGATTATTCTCCCTAATGCCCATGGGCTGATTACAGGTGTCCAAAAACAAAGCAAATACCACATAATAGTAAAACTACCTTTTAACCTCCAACGTTCTATCTTTATGGAAAATCACAAATGTTGGCCTGGCTGTATTTACCTCACTATTGCTTGGTCCATAGAGCAATGTCTCAGTTTGAGATTTTCCCATTAAGATCTCACTCTTGGTAAATAAATAGTTAACAATCTCACAATTCTTCTCACCTGTACAGTTTCCTGGGAGGCGAGCAAAGCCTGTTCTTTTTCTTCAAGTAATAATCTAGGATCCATTGTGCCATTGACATCTTGATATGACTGAGAGCGAGGAACTTTCCTACAGACCAAATGAGAACAAAGATTTTCCATTTATGAAACCATGTAGGTATAATGTTATTAACGAAAAAACAATAGAGGACATACTCTATAGAATGGGAGGCGCGGTGGCCTCATGTTTAGTGTCCTCAACTCCGGATCAAGTGGTCCGGGTTCGAGCCCTGGCCGGGGACATTGTGTTGTGTTCTTGGGCAAGACANGGGGAGTAGAAATACTCCTAGTCGCTTCATGCTACAGAAACCGGGATAAGCTCCGGCCTGGTGGGCCACTAGGCTTGTATGCAGACTTACTTTTACTCTATAGAGAGTACAGAATAGCCATTTATGGAAAATGTTTGGTCCAATTAGATGGAGTGTTGCTTGGAGGTGATTAAACAAGGTCGTTGTACCACAGAAACAGGAGAACTAAATCCTAAATTTTTACCAACAGAAAAAACCAGCAAGTTCTTGTCAAACATACCCTTTTCCTTGATGAGCAGGACCAAGCTTTGACTTTTCACCAAGCGGTCCAGCATAAGCTCCACCTTTACCATCCTTACTCTTATGACGAGTGTTAGGACCCCTGGGACTGTCACCGCTTGTTTTGTCCAGGCCTGTATAAGGGACTGGACCAGACTGATACGGGTAGGTACCAAGGGGGCCCACAGCCTGTTGTTAACAAAAAAAGGTTTCAACAAAATAATTTCACATTACAGAGCTATTGAACTAAACTAAAAGTAGATTAAAAGAACTTTTTACTCACCTCATTAACTGGATTTCGTTGTTGTGCATAACCAGTATTGAATGCATAACCGTAGTTATTCTCTGGACCTGGGAGATTTACACATTAAATACAGCATTTCTCAGTGTTCGAAATTATGCTAACCAAATCATGAATTGAGGCAAACTCTTCAGAGTGGAGAAAATTAACTGGTTGCTGACTTGATGTCATGGTTGGAAAAGTATTGTGTTGGGAGAGATACTTCAACCAAGTTGATGGTTAAAATAGTGAAACTCAACAGAGCAAAGCAAGAGCCCATTCCTTAAAAAGTATTACAAACATAATCAAAAAGATCTGAACATTCTGATCTTTGGTCTGTCGTTGTATTAAGTTTGTATTGATTGCTGCTTTTAGTTGTAATTTTTAATTTCGTTCCATGCCAAGAGTTATACTTTGAGTGTAAATTTAGATATTCACTTCAAACTCAAAAGCATATTTGAGTTGTGAATAATAATCTTCTCACCTAAATATGCCTGGCCATCATCATACATGTAAGGCTCATGGTCAGTTATAGGTCCATTTGGCGAGAATTCATCGTACACTTGCTGTTGCTTCCGTAAATTGTCAGCTTTCTTCTTTGCGATGTATTTCTCAATCTGAAATTAGTTAGCACAGCATTGTTACCGGCACAGCTGGAATCTTGAGAGTTGAATTGAAGGCAGATTCACCCGCACAAGATTTGCTGTCAAGTGATACTGCATCAGTTATCTTTTGGTAAAATGGATCGTGTAATTATTGACTTCTTGTTCAGACAGAGTCTCAGGATTTCTTTTCAGACAGTGCCTCAATTTGACAAGGCGAATAGAAAAGGAAGGTTATTAAATTAATTTTAAAAAATCAAGGAATCCTTACCTTCATTCTGAGATTGGCCAGCACCACCTCGATCACTCCTGGTTTACATTCAGCAACATCCTTTACAGTGGACTTGGGTACAGTGTAGCTCAGTTTAGACAAGACCTTTCCTGAAAGTAAAACAACACAGAAACCTTCAAAACACTTTTCCATACATTCAGTAACTATTTTAAACAGTCAGGGACTGTACTTACCACCAAACAACCTAAAGAAAATGTGCGCACCAATTGGCCAAAACTCTTGTTTCTATAACTCGATAGAAACACAAAACTAGCATGAGCTGTTGACAAAATGATGGTGCGAGTAAAGAGAATTTACATTTCGATGATCAACGTATTTCCCAAACATGTTCTCTGTGTTTCTATTGAGTTTTGGTATAAATCTAGTAGACTACTAGGCTACACCACTCCTGTCTATCACAGAATAGATAGTGAGTAGTGTAGCCAATCAGAGAATGGCATTTGTGATAGAACACAAGTAGAATTATACTAAAACTCAAAAGAAACATGGTAGATGCTTTCTATTTCTTAAATAAAGCATATGCTGAAGCCTTAGGTGACACTTACTATTGAGTGTATCCCAGTTAGTCAGCTTCTGGGCTTGTGAACTTGCTGAAGAATAGTTGTGGATCTCTACCATCTTAGGCAGAAAATGTGCCACAATTTCTGCTACAAGCACTGAAAAAATATTTAAAATGATCTCATGGTTAGTGCGCTGTGCTAATAGCCTTAATTGAATTGCAATGAAAGATCTGACCATGTCAGCCTGAAAGATTTTTTAATTCACTATTTAATTGATGGACAATTTAGTAACATTTTTAAACTGTTGGCAGATGAATGAATTAGGCCAGTGAAAAACACAAAGGCCTTTAGTCTATTGTAGAACGGCTCAAAGCTTACACTTGGAAAAATACAAAATGATTTTACATCGTAACATTANAGACTTGTTTGTTGAATTAAACTTGAAAACTTTAAACTTTATTTTCCACATTAATTGATTTTATTTTCGGCACTGACAGCCATATAAATAAACGGATTAAATAAGTCGGCTTTGCTGGAGTTCTATGGACTTTGTCGCTGTGGAGAAATGCACGAGCTAAATTCCTTGGTAGTGTGGAAAACTTTATAGCAAATCGAAGACGGAAAGAGCCAAACGGCGAGCTGGTCTTTAGCACATTTCCAGATAATCTGAGGTATACAGCCGGCTAAAACGCCCGGGAAAGCAACTCTCTCCCTCCCTAAGCGAGAGACCCTGGGAACCAGGTCAGTGGGAAAGAAAAATCAGAAAGAAAAATCAAGACATACTGGTCAGCGGAATATAACCAAGATATGACTCACTTATAGTAAAACATTGGTTTATTGACGTTTGCAAGGAGGAGTAAATGCTATTTCCCTAGTTTGCAGTCACGCAGCGCTACGAAAAGTTTGGAATATCTGTTAGCGTGACACCCGACTGCTTTATCATGTAATTAGCAGCATAGTGTCCGCAGCGAACACAGTCATCCACTGATTTTCCTTGAGCCAACTGACTGAGGAAACCTGCAACAAAACAAAGAACGGCTGAAAACATGCTGGAAGGATGATACACTTGAAAACACTCCACCCGAGAAAACGATTCTGGCTATCTAAGCTTCGACAATAAAAATAAGTTTTTGAAATACCCCTCTATATCAATTACCATCAGCAGTGTGGCTTATGAAATCTTTACCGGCAATTTTTGCGCTACATGTAACGTTTATACCAGTGAATTGCACATTACTTCCATGGAGCAAGTTTTTCTTTCTCTTTCTTAAACGGTTACCTAGGATTTTTTGTTGATCGTTCAATTTGTGAATTTTGTTCCCACCAGTTTCAGAAACTGCTGTTTGTCCTCTTTTTCCAAACACAACCCACTGAGTTAAACCATACTCCCAGACCAGGAATTCAGATGGAGCCCCATTTCACTATGGAAAAATGAAACAAACAAACAAACAAACTTAAATATACGTGATGAGCTAGTACCAAGGACATTCTCGGAGCATTCTCGGATGATCGGATCGCTCACCGAGCCCCGAGCATATTTGAAATTCTAAATGGCCGCCACAGAACACAATAAAAGTAGTCTATTTTAATTTATTCTCTGATGCGATGCAAGGGCCCTCTGTGAATTTAGCTAGTTGCCACCGACTCCAGTTGTAACAAAATTCTAATTTCAATGTTTGGAAAACAAGTCAGAAAACGTTTATACCATCCCACAAAAGTACATAAAAAAAACACCACTTTTTCTGCAAAATGCTTTAAGGAAGTCAACTCTGTTTTCTCACCTCCTACAAAGGCATCACCAGCTCCATTAGTATCCACTATGTCTTCTTCTTTTATGGGAATGATTGGGTATTCTGTGACTTTACCATCTGCAAAGAGTCCATGAACAGAGAAGTGACTCGACTATAGTTGAAGCTTTCAAAGGTCAAGGTCAAAGGAGCTACGTCACGGTTTGCGAATCTTGAAAAGTTTAGCCTAAATGTTTTTCAAGTTCGTCATTTATAATTCGTGTCAATCTTCTCCATCACTGTTCCTAATTCTGTTCGCAGCCAAAATAACTCAAAATATCGTGACTGTGATTCTTTGTCTTTTTGCACTCGACAACAAAAGAATCTTGAAATTAAAACGTTAACTTTACATTTCACTTTCAGCGAAAGACAACAGAAAAAGAAGTTTAATCTCCAGGGGTAACTTAATAATTCACAGGAAGAATGGGGGAACGTTACTATCTCATAGGGTAAAATATCAAGCTTCGTAACTCCTTTGCATCTTCCAGCTGACATACAGGGTTACATAATCTTCTTCAGAAACAAATTTTCAGGACTTTCCCAGGACTCAGACTGATTTTTCCAGGACTCTAAAATTCACATTAACCCTTTCACTCCCAAGATTTCAATGTTAAATATAGTTAAATGAAATTTAACATAGTTAACGACTAGGAGCTAGTCTGGTCAGTAGCGTTTTTGTAGGCGGTTGTTAGTGTCTTGGCCGTCTGTNAAAGGTAATTTTGTATGTGGCCAAAATAACTCAAAATACCGTGACTAAGTTCCTTTAACGAAAGTCAACAGAGGCCCTCCTCACAGGGTGCTGAGGCCATACCTTTAACAACTATAGTAGGTTCCTTTCCTTGTGTTATCACCACAGTGCGAGGACGGCTTTTGTTGACTTTATCAAGAGCACCCATTTTCATTGCAATTTCTTTAATGTCTTCTGTCTGTCAAATGGACGAAATTATTAACAGCATGTTAGTAAACAAAAAACTCTTGGTAGGGAATTAACTTAGGTCAAAAACTGCACAAGAAGGACAATATCATAGAGATCTTTTGGTGTTTTGGAAATATCTATTGAATTGGATGTTTGTATGAAAGACTTAATTTAAGTGTTATTAGTATTCTTTATTGACAGCTTATCTGGAGTGCTGCAAATCAGGATTCCAGAAGCAGGTCACGAGGCCTCTGACAATCAACCTCCAAAGACATTTTTAAATTTTCCTTTTACACAATTGATGTGTACTGCAGAGATACACTCACCTTAAAATCATGCTCTTTGGCAAAAACTGTAGCTTCCTGGAGGGAAAATGAAGAAAACAGCATCCACTTGAATGCACTAGTTACTCACAAAGAAACCTCTCTCAAAGGATTAAGAGAATGCAATAAAGAATTTGCGGGCAGATATCTTCTCTAGGTACCATTCCACTATTTCTTCGAGGGGTGACTTGCATGTACATGTATATACAGTGAAACCTTGATATAAAGAAGGGCCAAAGGACTGACAAGATATGTTTGCTATGATGAGGTTTTGTTGTAACAAGGTTCTTTTCCATATATATTACTATTACTGGGGCGAGGAATATCCGTTATTCCGAGGACTTTGTTGTATAGAGGTTCCACTGTATATGGATGTTACATTTGTCTTACATTTTCCCACATTCTCACCGAGGTCTAGGTTTGCCAACTAAAAGTACCACTGATTATAATAATAGCTTTAAAGTTCTCTGTAACATTTGGATAACTTACTAAAATTTGTCGGAAGGACAAAAAAGGAATGGAAAATAAGTGGATTTGAAGTAGATCAGGAAAAGTATGGATTAAATACAGATTTAAAATGAGATTTTCTAGTTACTAATAATGATAGACAGAGGTTAAAATAGATTATTACCAGCTTGGAGTGGCACTATAATCATTTTATCAATTCATGTTCTGTCTAAAATGATGCGCAAACCTAGCTGTGATGAAATTTTAGACATGCCTGAACAAGTTATAAGATACGATATGTCCCAAGCCCATTCCATAGGGTGTTGCATTCGTTCTAGTGTAGTTAATTAGTTTTTTTTTTTTTTTCGTTGATCCTATCTCAGAACTACGATTTTACCTTCGGCTTAAGGTTTGGCGTGCTANGATAAAACGGAATGGCAGTGAAAGCATCCTTAGTATATATATCAGAATGTAACTGTTCTTAAACGATCTAACAATGATTGATTGGAAAGATGATATGCTTAAGTCTCTGTTTGGTCAACCGCTTATTGAACAGACTGTGCTGTGATCCCACATGGAAATTACTACAAAAGCAAAAGAGCTTTAGAACAATGCCTTCCACATTAGCACAGCAGTGCTAAATGTTTTCAGAGATCCATGGTCTATTGCTAAACTAAACTAAAGTTAAGGCATGTTCAGTAACTGCTTCTCCTTACATACTTACACTAATATAAATATATTCAGCCTTCTCTACAAATTTCCAGTTTTCTGGTTTTTCCAAGTGATCTGTTTTGCTGTAAAAGTTTGCTGCAGCAAGATTTGCGACAAGAGACCTTAAAGGTAAATAATAACAAAATTGTACAACTATCATTACTAGATGACATTTTGGGTGGTCACTTATAGGAGATTTGACTGTATGTCCATAAGTTGTGGGTGAAAAATATTCTGAAGGCATAGCAGGAGCAGAGGAGTGTAGATTTGCCAGTACCACCATAGGGGAGATGGGCAGAGAAAATTGCTGGAACCATTATGCCAAGAAGACTTGTAGAGAATTGTGTGATGGCATGTAAAAGGTGAATAAAAGGCCTTGTAAACCAGGGGGGTGTTTGCCATGGGAACATGTAATTATCTGATTGGAAGAAAAGTCGTGCCATGACTTATAAGCAGATAAGTATATCTGATCGATCCAACACTAACCTATGTTTTCCAGTTATGCACACAGCACAAGTTCCTGTTGGTTCTTTGTCATTGACCATATAGTTCACATTAACACCAGCTTCTCTGGCTTTTTCAGCCAGAATTTTTCCAAAGTCATCCTTGCCTGTAGATATGAACAGAACTTTTAACATGCCAGCCCTACATTTACTGCAATGGCTAAATCCAATACAATTACTAGCATGCACCATAGAACAGTCTATTGTTAGTGATACGCTACATGAAGTTATAAACTGATGATATATTTTTCATATATATTTTTCACAGATATCTGAAGTTACCGTACCCAAATTTGCAACTAGCAAATCAGCAACAGTGTCTAATGTCTCAATATTCTGCAATATCAAGTTATTAACCTGATATGGCTATGATGGCATGGTTACTTCGCTGAATTTTGGTATGGTAAATACCCGATTGTACCTTTTTTGGTGCGCTTTGGCTGTATATCAGGCTGTTTTTGGTCTTGCCATGGGTATTTTGGCTCGACTATGTCTCATCAACATATGAATGAAGGCTCAAACCAATATTACCCGACATGCTGCCGAAGCCTACCGAATAGGGATGACCAGGTATAAGTACCTTACCACAAAACAATTATTCAAGCAACAGCACCACCACCAAAGAGTTATCAACAAATCACAGCATGATGGTCACCATGGTTAACATGTGTACTAGTCCTCCACAGGAATCAGTGACTAACCAATAGACCTTTTGCATGCCGCGCAGGGACTGGTCACTGGAGGTATGCGACCCCCATCTTTGATATGACACATGGCTAATTATTAATGTGCACCTGTGTTGACCTTTGCTCGTTAGCTTAAAATGACAGCTAATAGTGAAGAAACTTGTAAAACTTTAACCCAAAGATACCTAGATGAGTTTATCAAGGAAAAGAAATCGGATCAGAGGGCTCAGGCATTCTTCGTGGAAGATTATGTTCACTATCTTTTTATCACATTTCACAAAGCAGAATGTTGTGTTATGAAAGGAAAATGCTATCGATCGATGTCTAGGTCGGAAAAGCCGCATGAGATAAAATGATCTTGGAATTCAGCGACTCAGGGTCGAATATTGTGTTTAGAAGATGTTCTTGCAAAGCCGGGCAGGGACATTATCATCATCTCTCGGCTTTAGCCTAAGCAGTGTTGAGTTCTATGAAGGAGAGTGATGGTGCTTCAGCTTGTACTTCAAAGCCCCAGCAATGGCATGTTCCTAGAGGTGCAAAAATCGACCCGCAACCCTGGATGCAGCTAAATTTTTCAAAACCATCAGTGGAAAAGGAATCAGCAAGAGGTGCATCACTGTGCCTTTACGATCCAAGACCTCTCAAGAGAAAGGACTCGGAGGAAAGCAAACAAATATTTTAAGAGTTTCAAGATAAATTTAAAAAGGTATGCCCAACTGCACCAGTTGTTCACGTGGAAAATGATAGTTCTACCACCGTTTAAACAAATTTTGGTGAATACCTTAAGGGCAGTCCATTAAGTTATCAGCTACCTTCAATTGATTGTATTGGAAATCAAACAAACATATATGGCGAGTTACCATTTAAACTTCCTGTGCTGAGTGATGACTGGAATGAATATGTACATGGGTTTCAAAATGTAGATCTTAGCTTCATTACCTTGTCGCCAAAAGATACATCACAACTTGAATGTGACATGAGAGAGCAAAGTGGAAGTGCAAAGTGGAAATTAGAGAGAGCAAAGCGCATCACTGCATCTCAGTTTGGCCAGGTTATCAAAAGAAAGGCAGCTGTCACAGAAAAGTTTCTGAATGAACTGTTTCAAGGAAAAACAATTCAGACACCAGCTATGAAGTATGGTTTGACCAATGAGATCAGGGCTGCAAAAGAGTATCTTGATTGTGGACAAAATAAAAAAATGTACAAGAGTGGACTAGTGGTTAACCCAGCATTTTGTTGGTTAGGGGCTTCACCAGATGGCATTATTTATGACCTTTCAATGGGAGAAAATCCCTTTGGGATTTTTGAAGCTAAATGTCCATTTTTGTGGAGCGGGTAAAAAAATAATTGACATTATTAGAGAAAATAAGTAATTTTACTTAAAGCAAACAGACAATGGGATTAAGTTGAAAGAAAATCACAGCTACTACTATCAAGTCCAGGGCCTAATGGGCATCACTGGGCTTAAATGGTGTGATTTTTGTGTTTGGACTGGTGTAGATTTCTTTCAGCAAAGAATTATGTTCGATCAAACCTTGTGGAATAATATGCTTTCCAAATTAACAAATTTCTTCTTTGAACATTCTCATACATTCCTCACAATGAAAGGATGCTAACTTCCCTATTATTAATGACATCATACCAAGCCATTATCTTGTGGTAAATGTTTTAAGCTGTGAAATTAGGCCTTTGAAACAATTTTTGTCTTTTTTTTTGGCTCTTGGTTGTTTCTGTATTGTTGTATTTTCATTGACGAGTTTACATTTACTCAACAAATTTCTGAAATACATACAAATTCTATGTATCTTGCATTTCAGCTAATAAAAGACAGTTGCAATTATTAGTTGTTGTGCAATGAATGGTGACTGAAAATTCACCAAAAGTGCACAGACTGTCCAGATCTGATTAAGCAGACCAGCCTGATTAATTGGAAATACATTTTGTAGTATTTTAAATGTCTTGATTCTGCTTATTGCTCTGTCGACATGTATTCTCAAATTTGCAATTTCCTGAGTCTCTTTTACTTGATCCTCTGAAAACTGTCCCTGATTATTGAGGAAAGGAGAAATATTAAGAGT